AGGAAGGAAGGAAGGAAGGAAGGAAGGAAGGAAGGAAGGAAGGAAGGAAGGAAGGAAGGAAGGAAGGAAGGAAATCCAGTCTCTATGAAAAGTACATGGGAATGATGAGTGGATACACATCAAAAAGTTATTGGTTGGGATACTGTACATACTGAAGAATTTTCCTCAGTGCCTCCTTGAGCTCCTTGTTCCTCATGCTGTAGATGAGGGGATTCACTGTTGGAGGCAACACTGAATATAGAACAGCCAGTGTAAGATCCAGAGCTGGGGAGGACATGGAGGGGGGCCTCAGGTAGGCAAACACTGCAGTGCTGAGAAAAAGGGAGACCACAGCCAGGTGTGGGAGACACATGGAAAAGGCTTTGTGGCGGCCCTGCTCAGAGGGGATCCTCAGCACAGCTCTGAAGATCTGCACGTACGACACCACAATGAAAAGGAAACACCCAAAGACAAAACAGAGACTAAATACAAGAAGTCCAACTTCCCTGAGGTAGGAGTCTGTGCAGGACAGCTTGAGGATCTGGGGGATCTCACAGAAGAACTGTCCCAGAGCATTBCCTTGGCAGAGTGGTAGTGATAATGTGTTCCCAGTGTGAAGGAGAGCATTGAGAAACCCACTGGCCCAGGCAGCTGCTGCCATTTTGACACAAGCTCTGCTGCCCAGGAGATTCCCATAGTGCAGGGGTCTGCAGATGGCAACATAGCGGTCGTAGGCCATGACAGTGAGGAGATAATACTCTGCTGAAATAAAGAAAAAAAAGACGAACATCTGCGATGCACATTCCAGGTAGGAAATGACCCTGTTGTCCCACAGAGAATTGGCCATTGATTTAGGGACAATGGTGGAGATGGAGCCAAGATCGAGGAGGGAGAGGTTGAGGAGGARGAAGTACATGGGGGTGTGCAGGTGGTGGTCGCAGGCTACAGCTGTGATGATGAGGCCGTTGGCCAGGAGGGCAGCCAGGTAGATAGCCAGGAAGAGCGAGAAGTGCAAGAGCTGCAGCTCCCGCTTGTCCGCGAATGGCAGGAGGAAGAACTCATTGAAGGAGCTGCTGTTGGACATTTTGGTCTTTCATGTCATGAGAGAAGGTCCAAGAAGAAAAAGACAGTGACAAGTTAAGACAAACTTTCTGCAAAAACTTTTCCATTTCTCACAAACAGAAACACAGACACACGTATCCCTCCTCCACACATAATGATTTAGCTCCCTATATGAAGCTTCAATTGTGAGAGGCAAAACCTCTCTGTGTCCTAGCACAGAGACAGCACAACAGGTCTCCACATCAGTCCCTTTCCTGGATGCTTTAGGTATGCACCTCTCTCAGCTAAGGAACAATCTCAGCCCTAAAGGAGCCTGGCCTGTGCTGACAGTGGTGTTCACTTGCAAAGTGCAGATTTCCAAGCTCACCTCCCTTTCTCAGCCAGATGTCCCAAGAGCCATGGAGGGGCTGTAATGTAGCGCATGGCTCTGATGATCAGAAGGGCTCTGCAGTGTGGTGCTCATCCTGAGGGAGATTTTGACATGCAGCTTCTAGGCAAGGGCACACAGTGGTTATTTCAGCTGCCCCCATACRYACCTTCCCCACCCGYCCACCAGCACCATTTCCATTTCCTTAATCCCTCTGTGGCTTCTGCATGCGATGTTCAGCTAACCTAAGTGTTCTACTAAAGAATTGTGATCCTCCTCAGGGCAGGGCACAGCCCAATAGCACACCAAGGGTGAGTCCAGTGTCTTAAAGATGAGGTCTGCTGAAAGACAATCACCTCAGTCCCCGTTCCTCTGCTGGGTGGCAGAGAAAACACACAAGGGCACTTTCTCAGGGGAAAGCATCTGTGCTGCAAGAGTGGGCAAAGAACTTCCTGCACCCCATCCTTCCATGAGGTGTTTGGCAGCAGGTTCCCCTGACCCTCAAATCATCTCTCTGCTGTTTGGAGGTGTCCTTGCTGGGAGATGTTCCTCTGTCCTACACAAACCTCCAAGCATCAGGAAACTGCCTAGGGACATCTCTCTCCTTGCAGCTGCTAGATCAAAGAATCTCTAGTGAGCCTGGAAAGGGGACGCGGGTGCCGTCTGCACGCTGGGGAGTGGTGAAGTCACTTCCAAAACTACTCATCCTGCAGGGTGCTGATGAAGATGCCAAGCCCTTGTTTAAACATGTCTGCAGCATTTCCATTTGCACCATCAGAGAAGAGTCCTCTGGAAAACTCTACTCTCAAAATGTCCTCAGGGTTGAGCTGCAGCCGTGGGTGGCCCTGACCCATGCAGCAGCCCCTGAGCAGGAGAATGAACCTGCCCTGCTGGGGGTCACCCCTCTCACTTAGAGCTTCTCCCCACAGCACAGTGGGGAGCTCCCCGGGCAGGCTGAGGGCTGACCCTTGCAGGTGGCCAGGCTCCCTGGCCAGGGAACAGAGCAGCCTGGGCGCAGGGACATGCTCTGAATTACAGCGCTGGGCAGAGCGGGGTGCACACCCTGGCTTCACAGCCCTACAGCCAGCCCTGGCAGGAGAGAGCAGCGTGCCCTGTCCCTCTGTTGGGGTGGCGGGAAGGCTGCTCTGAAGCATCTCCCCCTTCTCTGCACAGGACAGCGAGCCTTAAAACCCCATCAGCAACGGCACGGACTGGGGTCAGAAACCCCCTCCAGGAAGCTCAGCAGCACTGCCCTGCACACAGAGACTCACCGTGCCAAGGGCTGCGAAGGTTTCTGCCACAGCCAGCTCTGCTCTGTGGTCCCACTGCACACTGCAGGTCACCTCTCGCTGCCTCCTCTCCTCTCCTGGCTGCAGCAGCAGCAGGCAGTGCCCGCACCCCTGCTGCTCCTGGCACAGGAGCTCCTCCTGCACACAGTGTCTTTGGGCAGGGCTACCACGTTGACACGAGCTGCCTGTGTCCCAGGAGCCTGGCGCTGCTCAGCAGCACAGCCCCAGCTGAACTCACCAATTTCCCTGTCCCTTGTGCTCCCTCCTCCTGGGACATGGTCACTGCAAGCAATTAAAATAATCACCCCTTTTCTTTATCTCAAGAGAGCAGTGAAATGGATTCCAACATTGCAATTTATTTCTTCACACAAGGACTTTCTATGAAATTTGGAAATGTCTCTCTGTGGAAGGCCCGATTCATACCTCTTAGCTAGGCAGGACACCAAGATCAGGACAAGAATACAGTGCATTTAACCATGTTTTACATATTAGTTCAGATGAGTCAATCTGGGTATCTTACTGATTTAGAAGCACATGGACTGCAGAAGGATTCAGTTCCTTTCTGGGAACTCCACAAACATGGAGGTCACAAGATTCCCCTTGCCCAAGCTGAAGGTTGAACTACACCCATATCTGCAGGGGAGCTTGCTGTCTAAGGATCTGCACTAAGCACCTAAACTGGACGGTGGGAGTCCGTTACTGGTGACACTTGGACAGAAGTGGTCCAAGGTATGAAGCTGTGTTTGTTGCCATAATGGAGCACGTGTTTTACCCAAATGTTTCTAGAGCATCAGATGGGGGCCAGGTGAGGAACTTCCTTGGTTATCTCAAATGGCACTAGGTGCCCACTACTGGCAAAGCTCCACTCACAGAGAAGCTGGGACACATGGAGCTGGTGAGAGTGCAAATTGGAACATAATTCAGTGCAGGCACTTGATTGAGTGACACTGAAGTAGGACAATGTCAAATGCCTGGAGTTTCTAGCACAACTGCAAGGGTGGGATCGATAGGAAATCTCTGCCTTTTTGGATGGAGAAAGACCCTTGGTATTCTCACATTTTCTTGCCTATGATTAGACAGCTGAATCCCACCACCACCTTCAGGGAAACTCCCAACACTCTGCATTCAAGCGTGCTGCTTGGTGGCCTCCAACAGTGAACTCCTTCATCTACGGCACGAGTAACAGGAGCTGCAACGACGTTGAAGCCAGGCTTCCTCCTCCTTCTGCAACAGAGAGGAATTAACCTAAGAGACCACTGCCCTGAACTCCTTTGGATGCCTCCAGGGCAATGTGGAGAGTTTCCCTTTGCAGTGTCTCTTCGAGCACTGACATCAAAGGAGCTCAAGGGYACAGAGTCAGGCCCAGAGGAGTACAGATGAGGTGGGACTAGGGGTCCTGTGTCCATTAGAAGAGCTCAGCTCCCTTGTATACAGTCAGGATGTCACCTCACACTCCTGGGATTCAGTGACATTCAGTTTGCTCCTGTGCACTCCATAAACTCAGAGCAGGATTCCCTTGGCCCCATTTTGGGGTGCACAAAAAGTCTGCCTGCATGTGAGCTTCTTCTCTCAGCTCCCACTGTAGTTAGTGGAGATGGGGAAGGGAGGCAGATGTACACACAAACTCACTCCTTTGCACTTTAAAAGGAACAGAGGTGGTCCCAGACATGTGCAAGTGCCTCCTTGCTCTGGCAGAGCAACTGGGAGACCCATGTCCACCTAGTGCATCAGGCAGGTCTTCTTGGCACACTGACATCTCAGTGCCTGCTACCCAGAGCTCCACTCCCTTAGAAGCTTAGAGTTGTGCAATTCCAGACATTGCAAAGAGCTTTTATAATACAATGCAGATACTTCAGACCACGCAAGGAAAACAGGCCAACATGTCAGATGCATGTTGTTATGGTGTCTCCAGCAAATGTCCTTGTTTCTAGAATATTCAAGAGCAAAGCAACAGGAAACTCAGGCCCTTCAGAAGTGTTTAGTGGGCCAACACCCTAGGAATCCTTGGTTTTCATACCTGCTACTCCGAAAATGACTCCTACCATTGCCTTCAGGAAAAGTTGCTCAGTAGGAAGAGCTCTCTCTGTTTCAGTAAGCATCTTACTACTAGTGAAAACCTGTAGGCATCTGGCCTTATTCACGTGAGCATGTACCACTGCCTCATATGGCATCCCTCAAAACAGCCAGGATCTTTCCTTGGTAGTGGGAAATAGTATAAAATCATGAAACAGCCTGAAAAAATCCCCAGCTTGGGAATTTCAGATTGGACATTAGGATAAAGGAATGACACTTAAAGGCTGGTGCTGTGGTGCAACAGGCCACCCAGGAAGAGACAAGGATCATCCCATGGCTTTGTGTGTGAGGGAACAGGCAGTGAGGATGGAGAGACAACCGCGAAGGGAAGGAGATCCTGCGTGAGGGCAAAATGAGGAAGCAGGTTGGGTGTCTACAGGGTGCATGGACACAGCGGCAGGTATGAACCAGCATAGGACAGGCTCTGCTGGAGACAAAGGCCCTGCAAGGGCTCAACGACACCAGAGGAGGTCTGTGTCCTCTTGGTATGGCTGTTGTCTCTGCTACCAACACAGATACATGAAATGTCTGTATCCTACACGGAGGATTGCACAACGCACTCCATACACTGTCCCCAAGAAGACCTGGAAGACATTTGGAGATTTCCCTTCCCAGAAACTGTGTGGCCGAGCTTGGACATTTTGCCTCATAAAACACATCAAGGGTTAATGTGGCATCAGAGCCACCTGTAGGTTTCCTCTGACTCCCTGTTATCAGTGATGACAATTTTCTGCTCTAATCAGCCCCTGGAGACCCTTTGTTGTTAATGTTTATCAGTGGGACCCATTAAAGCTCTACAGAACTTAGTGCTTCTGTTCATTCTTCTTCCAGTAACGGAGGTTCATGAATTCGGCACCAAATACACCATGGGGCTCATTAAAATAGGAGAAGCTCTCACAAAGCCTGCCTCTCCCTGCAATTTTCTTCAAGTCTTGCATGGCAAATTGGAGATATTTCCGGAGGGTAGCTGAATGGTGGAGACATCAACAATATAGAAGCATTTCTGTTTTTAAAGCTTTTTGTTGTTACCGAGTAAGTGACAGCAGCATTCTCCAAATGGAATCAATCCAGAATGACTCCTAATGAAGTCTGGACATGTAGGAAAAGCAGTGTTCCACACCTCAAGCACTCTATGGACACTCCTACTCTCACCTCCCCAACCTGCCATTCCTCTCATCAGCCACCTGGAACTTCCATCACTCTTGTTAGCAGCTTTCCTGTTCTACTGAAATTGGCAACTGAAGGTTACAGCTCATCTGCCCCAATTCCCACCTGCTTTCCGTATAGAACTAGCTACAAATAAACACA